TACCACGACACCGTTACCGGCAGCCACTTTGGTGTTGAGAAGACATACGCACGCCTCTCCAATGACTACCATTGGCCACGCATGCATGCCCATGTGCGTGACTTCATACGCACCTGCCGAACCTGCCAACAACTCAAACACGCACCACCAACCGCTACGGACTCCTTCAACCCATCCCTCCACCTACCAAAGTGTGGGATGAAGTCACCATGGACTTCATCATGGACCTGCCCCGAACACCCCGCAGCTACAACGCCATCCTAGTCGTCGTCGACTGACTCTCCAAACTGACTCACTTCATCCCCACCCACACAACCGTCACCGCACCCGAAAAAGCCCGACTCTTCTTCGATCACATAGTCCGCCTACACGGTCTCCCATCTGCCATCATTTCCGACCGTGACCCCCGCTTCTTGAGCAACTTTTGGCAAAGCCTCTTCAAGCTTCACGGAACCCGGCTGAAGTCTTCTACCGCATATCACCCTGAAACGGACGGACAAACTGAACGGATGAACCGCACGCTAGAAGACGCCCTCCGTGCACAAGTTACCACTCGCCAAACTGATTGGGACCTCCACCTCACCGCCATCGAACTCGCATACAACAGCACACCCCAACTTTCCACCGGCCAACCACCCTTTTACCTTGCCACCGGACAGCACCCACGCCTACCCACAACCCCACCCTCCCACCTCTCACACACACCAGCAGCCTTTGAGTTCCTCACTTCACTCGAATCAGCCATTGATGCCGCTCGCACCTCCATCCTTAAAGCACAAGCCAAACAGACCCACTATGCCAACTCTCACCGCAAAGATATCCGCTTCAAGGTTGATGACCAAGTACTTCTCTCCACTGATCATCTCCCTCTCCTACGCAAAGGCACAACCAGGAAACTTGCCCCTCGCTTCATTGGCCCATTCACCATCAACCGAGTCCTCTCACCAGTCACCTACCGCCTCCAACTGCCCAGCTATATGAAGATTCACCCCGTCTTCCATGTCCAGCGCCTCCGCCCTTTCCGTGCACTTTCAAACGACCGTCCAGCCGCACGCCAACTGCCACCGATGTTCGAAGGCAGCCCCAGCCTCTTTGAGGTTGCATCTATCGCTGCTCACCGTGACACACCTCATGGTCGTGAGTTCCTCGTTCATTAGAAAGATCAGCCGGCTAGTGAAGACTCATGGGAACCTGAGAGCCACCTTGACCGTGCCGCAACTGCTGTGAATCGGTACTTGACCAGCCGCGGTTTGGCGCTGTGGACGGCGCAACTTGGCGGGGGAAGTAATGTAACAGTGTGGCAGCCGAGTGCTGCCAAGTACAGCGCAGGTGGGCGGAAGTCAAGCGCCACCTCACCAACTGTTCGTATTGGTCAAACGCCTCAACCTGCAGCTGGGCGACCAGATCCTGACGCGCGGCCCAAGTCAATCCCACGCACCAAAATAACGAAACGCAGAACACCGAAGTTCCGACCCCTCGCCGACTTCGCCAACCACACCGACGAAGTTACAGCCTTGGAATCAACTCGTCGACCAATCCCGCATCGCAATCAATCTCTGAATTTCACGGCACGGTTCATTTCAAGGGGTAGAGTTACCAATAAGAAATTCAGAGTGTCGCGACTTGGTAGTGCGACTCGATTTGTGAATGCATCCTATAAAATTGTGTGTGAAATTTGTTGAAGTCATATTGTAATTTCCAGAGAGTTCCAGAGAGCATCTTGTACCCGTTACTCATGCCTACTCAAGCCTACTAAGGCTAATACCTCCCTGCCAAGAACGTTTCAAACACGCTCGGAGCACCCTGTGATGTGGTTCCACGTACCCTGCCCTGCACCCGGTGGGACGGACAACACGCTCGGAGCACCCTGTGATGTGGTTCCACGTACCCTGCCCTGCACCCGGTGGGACGGACAACACGCTCGGAGCACCTTGTGATGTGGTTCCATGTACCCTGCCCTGCACCCGGTGGGACGAACAACACGCTCGGAGCACCCTGTGATGTGGTTCCACGTACCCTGCCCTGCACCCGGTGGGACGGACAACACGCTCGGAGCACCCAGTGATGTGGTTCCACGTACCCTGCCCTGCATCCGGTGGGACGGACAACACGCTCGGAGCACCCTGTGATGTGGTTCCACGTACCCTGCCCTGCACCCGGTGGGACGGACAACACGCTCGGAGCACCCTGTGATGTGGTTCCACGTACCCTGCCCTGCACCCGGTGGGACGGACAACACGCTCGGAGCACCCTGTGATGTGGTTCCACGTACCCTGCCCTGCACCCGGTGGGACGGACAACACGCTCGGAGCACCCTGTGATGTGGTTCCACGTACCCTGCCCTGCACCCAGTTGGACGGACAACACCCTCGGAGCACCCTGTGATGTGGTTCCACGTACCCTTCCCTGCACGCAGTGGGACGGACAACACTCTCGGAGCACCCTGTGATGTGGATCCACGAACCCTGCCCTGCACGCAGTGGGACGGACAACACTCTCGGAGCACCCTGTGATATGGATCCACGAACCCTGCCCTGCACGCAGTGGGACGGACAACACTCTCGGAGCACCCTGTGATGTGGTTCCATGTACCCTGCCCTGCACGCCGTGGGACGGACAACACTCTCGGTGCACCCTGTGATGTGGTTCCACGTACCCTGCCCTGCACCCAGTGGGACGGACAACACTCTCGGAGCACCCTGTGATGTGGTTCCACGTACCCTGCCCTGCACCCAGTGGGACGGACAATACTCTCGGAGCACCCTGTGATGTGGTTCCACGTACCCTGCCCTGCACCCAGTGGGACGGACAACACTCTCGGAGCACCCTGTGATGTGGTTCCACGTACCCTGCCCTGCACCCAGTGGGACGGACAACACTCTCGGAGCACCCTGTGATGTGGTTCCACGTACCCTGCCCTGCACCCAGTGGGACGGACAACACTCTCGGAGCACCCTGTGATGTGGTTCCACGTACCCTGCCCTGCACCCCGTGGGACGGACAGCACTCTGGGAGCACCCCGTGATGTGGTTCCACGTACCCTGCCCTGCACCCAGTGGGACGGACAGCACTCTCGGAGCACTTGGTGATGTGGTTCCACGTACCCTGCCCTGCACCCGGTGGGACGGACAACACGCTCGGAGCACCCTGTGATGTGGTTCCACGTACCCTGCCCTGCACCCAGTTGGACGGACAACACCCTCGGAGCACCCTGTGATGTGGTTCCACGTACCCTTCCCTGCACGCAGTGGGACGGACAACACTCTCGGAGCACCCTGTGATGTGGATCCACGAATCCTGCCCTGCACGCAGTGGGACGGACAACACTCTCGGAGCACCCTGTGATGTGGATCCACGTACCCTGCCCTGCACGCAGTGGGACGGACAACACTCTCGGTGCACCCTGTGATGTGGTTCCACGTACCCTGCCCTGCACCCAGTGGGACGGACAACACTCTCGGAGCACCCTGTGATGTGGTTCCACGTACCCTGCCCTGCACCCAGTGGGACGGACAACACTCTCGGAGCACCCTGTGATGTGGTTCCACGTACCCTGCCCTGCACCCAGTGGGACGGACAACATTCTCGGAGCACTTGGTGATGTGGTTCCACGTACCCTGCCCTGCACCCAGTGGGACGGACAACACTCTCGGAGCACCCTGTGATGTGGTTCCATGTACCCTGCCCTGCACCCAGTGGGACGGACAACACTCTCGGAGCACCTGTGATGTGGTTCCACGTACCCTGCCCTGCACCCAGTGAGACGGACAACACTTTCGGAGCACCCCGTGATGTGGTTCCACGTACCCTGCCCTGCACCCAGTGGGACGGACAACACTCTCGGAGCACCCTGTGATGTGGTTCCACGTACCCTACCCTGCACCCAGTGGGACGGACAACACTCTCGGAGCACCCTGTGATGTGGTTCCACGTACCCTGCCCTGCACCGAGTGGGATGGACAACATCCTCGGAGCACCCTGTGATGTGGTTCCACGTACCCTGCCCTGCACCCGGTGGGACGGACAACACCCTCGGAGCACCCTGTGATGTGGTTCCACGTACCCTGCCCTGCACCCAGTGGGACGGACAACACTCTCGGAGCACCCTGTGATGTGGTTCCACGTACCCTGCCCTGCACCCAGTGGGACGGACAACACCCTCGGAGCACCCTGTGATGTGGTTCCACGTACCCTGCCCTGCACCCAGTGGGACGGACAACACCCTCGGAGCACCCTGTGATGTGGTTCCATGTACCCTGCCCTGCACCCACTGGGACGGACAACACTCTCGGAGCACCCCGTGATGTGGTTCAACGTACCCTGCCCTGCACCCAGTGGGACGGACAACACTCTCGGAGCACCCTGTGATGTGGTTCCACGTACCCTGCCTTGCACCTAGTGGGACGTGTGCGGCCATCCACCCGTCGTGGGATTCCCCCAACTGCTGCACGACATGCTGTAAGATGCATTGAGCCTGCGCGTGCAGCAGTGCCACGGAGAGACGTGTAGCGAGTCCTGTCTCAAATATCCATGCCGATCCGTCATCCCCCCCTCCCCAGTCCCTCATCCGCTGTGCTATCCTCTTCGTGCAGAGCCCCAGGAACTGACACAACAGCTCGTTCAGTAGGCCAAAGGTCTCTGCCACGCACGCGTAAAACTGTGGTGCCAGCTGCAACCCCGCGCAAGTCGCTCACTTGCAACCTTCTTCCGCCTTTCCCCTCTCTGTCTTTCACCCTTCGTAATTCCTTTCCCCTCTTTGCCTTTCACCCTTCACCCCCCTTTTCCCTCTCTGCCTTACACCGGTTTTCCCCCGTTCCCCTGTCTGGCTCTCTCCATTCTTCCCACTTTCTCTTCTCTACCAGTCACCTTTCAACCCCTATTCCCCTCTCTGCCTTTCACCCTTTGTCTCCTCTTCCTCTCTCTGCCTTACGCCCTTTTTCCCCCTGTTCCCTCTCTTCCATACACCGTTCTTCCCCCGCTCCCCTCTCTGCCTTACACCCATGTTTGCCCTTACGCCACTCTACCTTACTACCCTTCATCCATCGTTTCCCTATCTCCCATACATCCATCTGTCAGAGGTCCACTGGTGATCCCCGATTGATCCTAGGGAAGGGTTACAGGCATGTTGGCCTGGGGGGTTATGGGCGCACTGACCGGCTACTTAACAAGCCCTTTTATCCCAATGGTCTAGTGGTTGGGATTCTGACATGTTATCAGAGCGAAGGTCTCGGGTTCGAATCCCAGTGTATGCACTTCGGGCATCCCAGTGCGGGGGGGTGTCAGAGGTCCACTGGTGATCCCCGATTGATCCTAGGGAAGGGTTACAGGCATGTTGGCCTGGGGGGTTATGGGCGCACTGACCCGCTACTTAACAAGCCCTTTTATCCCAATGGTCTAGTGGTTGGGATTCTGACACCATCTTCCCCCTTTTCCTCTCTGCGAGACATCCCTATTCTCCGCTTCCCCTCTCTGCCTTTTACCCTTCGACCTCCTTTCTCCTCTCTGCCTTTCACCCTTCGACGCCCTTTCCCCTCTCTGCCTTTCACCCTTCGACCCCCTTTCCCCTCTCTGCCTTACACCCTTCGACCCCCTTTCCCCTCTCTGCCTTTTACCCGTATTCCCCTTTCATATCTCTTCCTTACTCCCTTCTTCCCCCTTGTCCGTCTCTGCCTTACGCCCTTTTTCCCCTTTACGCCACTCTGCCTTACTCCCCTTCCTCCACCTTTCCCCTATCTCCCTATCCTCCTTCTTCCCCCTTTTCCTCTCTACGATTCACCCTTCTTCTCCTCTTCCCCTCTCGCGTTGCACCCTTCTTCCGCCTTTTTGCTCTGCCCTACACCCTTCTTCCACCGTTCTCTCTCTTCCTTATACCCCTCCTCCCGCTTATGCCACTCTGCCTTTCTCCCTACTTCCCCCTTTTCCCTCACTTCCTAACACCATTCTTCCCCCTCTCCCCCCTCTGCCCTACATCTTTTAGCCCCTTTTCCCCACTATTCCTAACTCCCCTTGTTTCCCCTTTCCCCTCCTTGCCTTACATCCTTCTTCCCCCTTTCCCTCTTTACCTTTCACGATTTTTCTCCCTTTTTCTCGCTGCCTACACCCATCTTTCCTATATCCCCTCTCTACTAGACACTCTTCTTCCCCCTATCCCCTCTCTGCCGTACCCCCTTCTTCCGCTTTTCCTCCCTCTCCGCACTGCGCCCTTCTTCCCCCTTTTCCTCTCTTCCCAGTTTCCCCTCTCTGCCTTACACCTGCTTCTCCCATTTCCCTGACGTGCATTCACCCTTCTTCCCCATCTCCCCTCTCTGCTTCACACCCTTTTCCTCCCTTACGCCACTCTGTCCTAGTTCCCTTCTTCCACCTTTCCCTGGCCCCCCCTTACCCCCTTCTTCCCCCTTCCCCTCTCTGCCTTTCACCCTACGTCTGCCCTTCCCTTCTCTGCCTTACACCCTTCTTCCGCCATTCCCCTCTCCGCCTTACACCCTTGGGGGGGGGGCTTTGACCCTTCTCTGCCATACGCCATTTCCCCCCCTTACGCCAATCTGCCTTACTCCCCTTCTTCCATTTTTTCCCTATCTCTCTTACTCCATCTTCCCCTTTTCCCTCTCTTCCTTTCACCCTTCTTCTCCCCTTCCCCTCTCTTCCTTATGCCCTTCTTCCCCCCATTCCCTCTCCTCCTTACACCCTTCCTCTCTCTTACGCCACTCTGCCTTACCCCTGCTTCCCCCCATTCCCTCACTTCCCTACAGCCTTCTCCCCCCTCTCCCTTCCACCCATGCCCTCTCACGCTACTATGTCCTTTCTCCCCTCGCGCCTCAATCTCGGTCTCCCTCTGACCACTCTCTCTTCTAATCTTCCTCCCCTCCTTGTTATTTTCCCCCTCGCCAACAGAGCGCCCTATGCGTCGGCCAATCCGTGCCTCCCTCCTTAACGTCGCCAAGCCGCTCCCCATGCCGTCGTTGCACCCCTCCCGGGGGTGAAACATCAACACTCTGATCGCGGAAAAAGTTATAGCACGCCATCTCTTCCTTCCGTCTCTCCTCCCACTTTCTTCTCCCATCTCCCTCCCCTCTCTCATCTGTCTTCCCTCACGCCCCTCCCTGCCCTCTCTCCTCTGCCTTTTCTTTCTCAACCTCCTGCTCTCTCTTCTCGTGTCTGAACTCTCAACTCCTTGACCTCACCTCCCCCTTTTATCTCCCTCATCCCCCTTCCCTCTCTCCCCTCCTTGCTCTCTCTCGACCCCTTGCCCTCTCTGCGGAGATAACTCTATCAACGGGAGCTATACTACAAGCTAGGCACGGGGTAGGAGGAATCACTGCATTCTTTCACTTAGTCGTTCTCTAGCACTTGTGCGTTCACAGGGCAAAACTGCAAAAGTTTCAGTAGAAAAGTTGAGAACAATAGTAGCAACTAGATTGGCAAGGTAGACTACATCAGAAGCCTAGCATGCAAGTCGACCACCAGCTCAGCATGAAGGCGACTTGCCAGCTGGTCGACCTCAGGCATCCTCATGCGTCTTCAGTCGACCTGCAAGGCTGGCGTGCCAGCACACCAACAACAGGCCACCACAGGTCACCACACATGCTCATGTGCGCACACCTACTTCGCAGGTGCAAGGTGACAGTGACGTCATGCACCGCCACACACATTGCGCAGGTGCCAAGTCGACCACATGTCGACGGTTGCATCTGAGGAGTCCTGTCGACCACGTGCCACCGAACCGCAGGTCAACATTACCAATCTACCTGGGCGACAGTCGCGAACCTCGCAGACCTCGTCGTCCGGGTAACCTGGTCAACCAGGCAACCATGTCGACCAGGTGTGTCATCCCAGACCCGTCGACCGCCCAAGTCGACGACCACTACATGTCGACCACACCAGGTCGACCACTCCCCTGGTCGACCAACTTCAGGTCGACAACCCACCTGGTCGACCAACTCCAGGTCGACCAGTACACCTATCAGCCGACCACACCCAGTCGGCTTCCCTGGTTAGCGTCACCCAAGTTGACGCCCTCCACTGGTTGACCTCCCAAGTTGACCAGCCGAAGTTGGCGCTCTCCCAAAGTCGGCACCCTTGCAGTGGCCCTTGTGCAGGTCGACCAGGCCCGTCGACCAGCTCGCCCACTGTTGCAGGTCGGTTGCACTCCTCACACCCGACCCCGAGGTCGGCTCCGCCCAAGCGAGGACGGGGCCAACAACAACTCCCGTTGACACTCCCCTGCCGCGTTCACGCTTGGGGCCCCAGCCCAGACGGCAGCACATCTTGGAGAATAGCTTGTCGGCGCGCACCCAACATACAGCACGCCGGTCACCGCACCAGCCATGCAAGAGGGCATGGCACCTACTGCTATACGTTGTTGTCACCGTTGCCCACTTCGACTAGGCGCACCTGGCCGATTGCAACGGAGCATCGGTTGAAGGATGGGTAGTGCAGCGCCTTCGTCAGGAAGTCGGCTGGCTGCTCAGCGGTCGGGATGTACCTCAGCAAAAACTTCCCGTGCTTCACCATGTGCTGCAGCCAGGCTTGTCGCCGCTCCGTGTGCTTGAGGTTGCCCGTCAACCCCATGCCCTCGGCGACTGTGATGGCCGACTTATTGTAGTCGGCACCATATACCTATGTGAAGCCCTTTACGACCAGCCTTGCCTTCTCTCGCTCGACGGTGTCGTCAATGTGGTACTTCGTCGTCAACACCCACCGGTTCTTCATGATGTTCACCCCGGGTGGGCGTTCGACCAGCTCCCAGGTTCCCATGCTGATGAGACTACAGATCTCCTCCTCCATGGCAGCCTTCACCGCCTTGCCCTTCCAGCTTGCCAACGCCTCCTTCCCCGTCATCGTCGAGATGTCCCAACGGTGCTCGGGGTCGGCGTGCATGTCAGGGTCGACCTCTGGCAAGTCTTCGTCCTCCTCGGCGTCGTCATACAGCAGGTTGTCGTCAACCTCGTCGTACACCGTGGTGAAGGCAGCCGGGACGAAGAAGCCAGGTGGCCTCCGAAGTCGGCCTGTCCGCCGTGGTCCGACTTCTATCTCGTTGCTGTTGGTGGGCTCCTCGGCGTCTGCCTACTCGGCTTCATTTCCACCGGCGTTGCTGCCCTCAGCATCCTCGAGCACCATAGCCGGCGTCCCTGCCGACTTCTCCCCTGTGGTCGACTCCACTGCCAACCGCCCGGTCGCCAACTGCTCCTTGGTCGGCTTGGCTGCTGCCTGCTCCCCTGTCAGCTGCTGCCTTGTCCCTTCCCCCTTTGCCGACTTCACCTCTGTCGGCTGTACTTCTTTGGCCTTCTCCTCCCCTGCCGGCTTTGACTTCACTCTCATGTCGACTTGCTGGACGTCACGTCTGTTGCACTATAGTGGCACGGTCATCGCACTCCCATTCAGCCGACAAGCCTACTTTGCTTCTGGATTTTGTGGGGCTTCAACATTTGCTCTTCACACCCTCAAAGTTTCAGAACTTTTTAAGCAGTTTCCAAGGCAGGGCAACATTTTTAGTTTCAAGACTTATGGCATCTCGAAAGTGTGTGTTACTCTAATTTGGTAACACCAGAGTTCACCATTTCGGCTGCTGACTCATCCACCAAGCTTTGCTTGGTCTGAAAATCGGTGTGGCAGTCCTTTGTTGTGTTTTTCAGGTGGACACCGAGTTTCAGGACCATCCAGCATCGGAACAGCACGTGACAGCTGTCGAAAGTTACTGTTCTGTAGTCATGGTGCACTGTTGGCAGCATTTCCCTTGCCACCCTTTCATTGTTGTCATGCCAATGGTGCAGGGACAGAGAATGAGACAAGAAGTACAGGTGTTCAATTAGGACTCTACCACCCTCCTTTTGAGAATTGTGATCTTCCTGGAAGCAGCTTGCAAGAGGGTGCAAGTGGGAAGACAAGCTGAATCATGGTTGGCTTGACTCACTATTGGTAGCCTTGAGTACAGTTCTGAACATCCAAGTGTGGTTGGATTTGCTGACCTAGCTATGACATTTCTCAACCTTCTCTAGCCTTTCTTGCCTAGGACTCAACCTTCTTTGAGTTCCTAGGATGGTCCCAACCTCTTAAGAGTCCCCTAGGCAATGTTGTACTCACCTCTTACTTGCATCAATGAAACTACACGTTTTGAGCCGAGCTTATGTTTTTCGTTCAGTGTGTAGCGCATACACCTCTGATGAGAGCAAGCAATATATAGTTGGAAAGCAGGCACCTGAAGCTAACGTCTGTCCAGGTTTCAGCATTGTATGTTATCGGAGCTGATCGTGACGGTGTTTTGAACAGAGGCGATTTGAAGTTCTCAGATTCTCCGTAGGCGGTTTTATGGGCATCCGCGACCCCTAAGTGGACTCTAGACTAACAAGTGGTATCAGAGTGGTTCTTCTCTGTTCCTAGGTCAATATGGAGGCTGAAGGTTCTGCTCCAGCTGGTCCTAGTGGTAGTGGTTGCGTGAGAGGCGCTGGGGAAGCAGGAAGAGGCGTTGCAGGCGGATCTGCACCAGCCAAGGATGATGTGAAGGCATTCAACCTGGAGAAGTTTTTTGGGGAGGATTGGGCATCATGGAGCTTCAGGATGGAGCTCCTATTTAACCATTATGGGCTGCTTGAAGTGATGGATGGAGAATTGAAGAGGCCTGCGAGTAAAGGAGCGACCAAGGAATGGGATCGCCGATTGAGGGATGGATTCTTCCTTCTCTCTCAATGCCTCTCATTCAACCAGCTGCACCACGTCAAGCATCTCATCAAGGATATCCAGTGTGGTCCCAAGGCATGGAAAATATTGAAGGATGTCCATGCCCCTAGCAGCGAAGTGATGGTAGTGGTGCTCAAGCGACAACTCCATGCGGTGAAGATCAACGAGGGTGATGCTGTGCAAGGAGCGTTCGATCAACTCCGGGACCTCTATGTGAAGCTCTCTGCTGCTGGTGTGGACTACGCTAAGAAGATCAAGTGCTATAAGGCTCTCTCCCTGCTGCCGGAGTCATGGGGCCCCTTGGTGGTCAACCTCAATGCCATGAAGGACTCATGGTCCCTTGAGTGGATCCGTGCTCAAGTCCTTCAAGAGGAGTTTCGAAGGAAGGAGCTGACTGCCGGTGCCGGTGAAGGTGGAGGCTCTGCCTACGGCATGAAAGGCTTCAAGGGGCGTGTCAGCAAGAAAGGCAAGGCCTAGGAAGGCTCTAGAGGGGAGCAGTATTCGGGAGGGAAGCGTGGCAACAAGGGAGGCAAGCGGTGTGGCGGCAAGTGTTGGTATTGCCATGTGGAAGGTCACCCGTGGTTTAAGTGTCGCAAGCTACCTGTCGGTTGGAGGACTGGTCAGCCATCAATTAAAGGCTCTAAGGGTGTTCATGGAGCTATGGAAGAAGGCATGGGCAGTGAGGAGGGCGATGGACGTGCTGGCGGACATGGCGGCATGTTCTACCATGTAGGAGAGGCATGCTCCAAGGACATGGTTGTACCGGCCAGCAAGGTTGCTCTTCACCGCTCCTCCCATTGGGACATTGACACTGGAGCCTTCATGACCATGACCAACCGAGAGGATCTGCTGGATGAAGTCAGGCCATCAAAGGCAGCCACCATCGTTTCAGCCTCCGGCCAAGTTGTACCCGTGCGTGGCGAGGAGAGAGCCATGTTTATGGGTGCGGATGGGAGGCTTGTGGGGCTGAAGCATGTTCTTCTTGTCCCTGGACTATGTGCCAACCTTCTCTCTACCAAGGCATTGAGTGAGGCAGGGATGAAGATGGAGATGATGGGCACAAAGGTGTTCAAGGCAACTCTGGATGGGCGCGTGTTGTGGGACCTCCGAGGCGGCAAGGACATGCACCGGTCCATGTGGGAGATACCGGTGCTGCCATGGA